TATTCTTGATTATTGGATTTTTTATTTTTATAGCTATGCATATCAAATAAGTTTCTATACATGATAAATATAAAATTTAAATCAAATTATTGAATTCTATAGTATAAAGCCAGCTCCACCCTTGTGTGGTGCCAAGTGTTCTACAATTTTTAATGTTCCTTATGAGTTAGATGTGGCCAATGTGTTAGTTCTTTGTGGGGAATTTAGGTTTTATATTTGGACAAAAACCAGGGTGTTCCAGTCTTTTTGTCTATGAGTTGGTAGGGATTTTCTTATTTTCCATTCAATTTTTGGTATCTATATTGGAGCCCGATTAAATTCGAATTCACGTCAGGAAGTCTCATAGTGGGGCTAAAACACTCTCTAACAAAGGCGACTCCGTACCTAAGGGGGCTCGAACCCGAAACCTCTTGATTAAGAATAAAGAAGTATTTATCACTCCATCACAACCCTTGTTGGTAATGATAGGATATTTGTTTGTGAGCATTTTGATGTGCCGAACTTTCATTATGTTCCGGCTTGAAGATGAGTCTATTATATAATATTGAATTTACATAATATAAATTTATTTATTTTATTTATAATATTAAGTTGTTAATTATAAATATGACAACTTCATAAAACTGCATGGTTATACATGTTTCTATATCTAGTTTTTTTTTACTTACTGTGCTGATTTTGTGGAAGTCATAATTTATTTTTATTTAATTTTTAAAATTTTCAATCGCAATAATATTTGAAGACGTTTCTTTATTAAAGATTTCATTTTCTCTTTCTTATTTCCCTTTTGAAGAAAGGAAGACCATTTAATTGATTTTTTATCAATTTCAACGTTAATTTCAAGGTAGAAGAAGGCTGGGGTACACATGATCGGCAGGGGCGGATCTACATGGAGGTTAGGGGTCACCCGACCCCCCTCATCGAAAAATTACACGGTATATATAAGATCAAATTCTGTTTTTATGTGTGTATATATTAAAATGAACCCTCTAAACACATGTAAAGAGGCTAGCTCAGTGGTAAAGGGGGTTCAAGAATTCGCTTGGACGTCATGGGTTCGATTTTGCGCAACAACACTTTCCTGAAATTTTTCTTGTTTTCTTCATTTGGAAAATCAAATAGCAAGGCTGAGATGAGCTCAACATTTTTGGGCTGGAGATTTATTGTTTTTTTTTTCTTCATTTTTTAATGTTATTTCTCCTTTTTAATATTCATTTTTTCGAATTTCTAAGGCACATTATTTTCATTTTTGTATTTTATTTTTTTATCTCCATTGCTCATTTTACTTTTTACGTAACTCTCTTTTTATATACTAATTCAAAGGAACTTTTTAAAAAACTGTCAATTATTCTTAAACTTGAAATTGAGATAGAGAAAAAAAACTTTAAAGATAAGTTAAACTTAATCAAACGAATAAATTTGAAAGACATGATTATTCATCATATTTCTTTCTCATTTTTTCAGTTCTATTCTAGAGAGATGTAAACTACATTGATATGATTTATTCATTTTTTTTACCGATGAAAAACCTTATAAATTGAATAAATGAACAAAAAATTGGTGATGCTATTTATTTATCCTTTTATTATGCATTATAATATTAGTAACTCAATCCCCACACATTTTAAAAAGTATTAAACAATTTTTAAAGTAACATATGATTGAATGAACACTAATTTAATTTATTTTAAAAATTCAAAATAAAGTAAAATAATAAAAAATTAAAGAAAAAAATCATTTAAAAAAAAAAAGAATCAATGAAGCATAGTAAAAGTAGGAAGAAACGCTAAATGCGGCATGACAAGACAAATTATATTTAATGGATTAAGGATAATTTTTTCTTTCCCGATCCGTTTTGCTCCATTTTCTTATTTACTTCTTATAAGTTGAACCCCCTCCACGAAAATCCTGGCTCCGCCACTGAGGATCGGATTGGTTTGGGTTTTTCAAATATCAAAATCAAATCATTTGAGTAAAAAAATTAAATTTGTAAACTAATAAAACTCGGGTTTTTTCGGATTTTTCAACCTCAGGTTGGTTCGGATTTTTCAAATACCAAACCAAACCATTGTGTCGAATTTTTAAACTTTTAAATCAAACCAAACTAATAAACCTCGAATTTTTCCAGCTTTTTGGATTTTTTCGGTAAAGTATGCAAACAAACATATAATTAACTTGTGCTCCAAATATTTCTTTAGTCCAACCAAAATACAACTATCTAAGCTATTTCTTAAGAAAAAAACACAAAATATGAGATGAGTGATGACACTAAAATATTCAATAAAAAATAATTATGAAATCATCATATAAAATAAATATTGCAAAGTCATAATGAAACTGGTCATAATTAAAAGTACTAAATCAATGCTAAAATAAATCTAATAAATATTAGTTACATGAGATTATGTATTTTAAATTAAAACTAAAGAACAAATATTCAATATTATTGTCATTCTTAGTGTTGAATTAATTTATTTTGTTAGCATAGTATTGATTTGATTTCGAATTGAGCTTTATTAGAGTTACTAATATCTATGAACTATAACCTTTATTGAACCATTCAAAATTCTAAGTCTAAAAAAACTTGAAAAAATATGTTAAAAGATAAAAATTATGAAAACATATAAGTAAGATTTAGAAATTACATCAAAGTAAATACTTTTATTATAAAATAATTTTAAAAATTATATATAAAATGTCGGGTTGGTTTGGTCTTGGGTTGACTTTTTTTAGTTAAAACTAAACCAACCCAAGTATAGTCGGGTTTTTCTTCAATACCAAACCAAACCATTAGTCATATTTTTTTTCCGATTTGACTCGATTTTCGATTTGATTTTATAGGCCGAGAAGAAGGTATTCATACCATATTTTCTTGGTAATACCCTTTGGTTTGTTTGCTTTCATTCTTCATTTTCAAATTTCAAGGAGAAAGAGGTTACACTTGTGTATTTGTTAAGAATATGGTATATTAGAAATTATTTATAGAATAAATACTGGTGTATTATATGCATTAACATTAGGATGATATAATAAAAGGTACATTGATACCAAGTTTGGTTCTATAATAATTTTTAAAAAATAGTATATTATATGATGGCAAATAAATATGATACATGGTATAAGTTGTTATATCAATATTTATTCTATTCCTTCAATCTTGAAATTCATATACATTCCAATGACATAGTTATAGATAGACACAAACAAACTTACAACATGCATAACACCATAATATAATTAATTATTTACAATTTTTTTTGAAAATTAGTACAATTTAATTAATATATTATGGTGACAATGTGGTGTACACTTCAAATATGATATATTATGCACAACATACATCATAATTTACACCACAAGCTAACCAAGAATTATCAGTTTATTTGTTAAAATAATTTAATTACACCATGTGCATATGATGATGATTTAACATTGTTATCCTAAAAAAAATTAACATAATAAATGACCAATACAAAACTATAGTTAACTAAATGCATTACACCAGCATACAATTAATTTATATATCATTTTTTAATTAATTATATTTTGCATGAATGTACATTATGGTGAAAATATGGTGTACGGTTCAATTTGATACAAAATAGATTATTTAAACCAACACATACACCATGAAATAACCAAGAATTTATCAAATTTATAGGTATAATCAAGTTAATTTATACAATTCAATTTATATTTGGTGATAATTTTGATTTGGTTATATGTGCAACCTTTCAATGCATAATATCATAATCTACAAACCATATTAATTTTTCCGTTTTAACAATTATACAAACACTACTGTCATTCAACATACGAATTATTCATCAAAATCAATTTACAAATAATTTATTTTTCATGATTAACAACATCGATTTACATAAAAATCAACAACTCTATTAAAGTTTTAGAATTATACGCACAAGCCTTCATATCACTGTTTTCCTTCCCTCCACATACTGATGTTCTACGTTGAAATACATAAATCGAAACACTATTTATGTATTTAAACGTTATACAACTTTATGCATAAACAGAAACATTCCTTCCCTCAGGAGGTTAGAACTCTACGTAGTGTCTATTTGTTCAACTTTATACGAGTGTTTATTTATGCACACCCAAAATTGGAGGGCATAAATATGAGTTGAGGCCAAATTAAAGGATCTATTCATGTATTTTGTCATCTTAGAAAGAGAGGAAAACAAGTATGTTCAAAGTGGTACTTATGTGAACAAGAGGCAGAGACAATAAATCAATTGGTTGTACATAGCAGAACTACAAGGCAGCTATGAGATCAATTCATCAATCTCAGACAGAGGCATATCCAAGATTTCGAGATGATGGGTGCACTATTACAAAAATGTTGATCTAAGATATAAATTTGATCGACATTTAGGTTCTTATTACTAAAAAAAGGTTAAAATTTTAATATTATAGGTCCATAATTAATATATATATGAATTAATTAAAATGTCAAAAGTGCTACCAATAACCACTTAGAGAGGTGTTATATAATTTTAGAAAGGAAAATGAAACAAGATAAATATAAAATTTAAATTTCTAACCTCACGTAGAGAGGTGCACCCAGTCATCATCCATTACATGATACTCCGAGTGTGGGTTCACATATCTATATTTCAATAATTTCTTAAAAAAACAACTCTACTATATATGATCTCGGGAGGGGAGCATAGGTTCATGTGAACCCGGTGACCCCCCCCCCCCCCACCGGATACGCATCAGAGGTTCTAGCTGGACAATGCCAAAAAGAACCTTCGAAGTTATTGCATGCTGGAACAAAGATGGAAACTGCAAAACTAACAAAGATGATCCTGAGGAATCATAGATGTACTAGGTACCTTGTAAGATGAACAAGGCTCTAGGTTTTGTAGTTCACCTGCCTCTTTCGTTTTTGATCGGGGTGGATCCTGATATATACGCAGAAAAAGATTCAGACCTTTATTAAGTGAGTGCAAACAATTAAGCAAATTAGACCTTAGTTTATCTGAATACTTGTGCCAGTACAGAGATAAATATGAAACGTAAAGAAACTACTTTGAGCAATGGCAAGAAATGTTTCTTTCATCATACTGATTGGTTCAATTGACAATCTCTATTCCTGTAAAAGGTTTTCCTGCATGGAGTTGAAGAGCAACATCTCCAACAACCTGTAATTTAACAATTACTCTCATATTACAAGTTCCATTTCAACAAGATGTACAACAAATAATAAACTAGCCTGAATTGAGCAAACTACTGACCTTGGCCATGTCTCTGTAAGACAATTCTGTCACACCAGCAACATGGGGTGTGATTATAACATCTGGAAATTTGAGGATAGCATCATCAGGATCAAATGGTTCAGTCCAAGCCACATCAATTCCTAAACCTCCTAAATGTCCCGATTTGAGATGAGTTAAAACAGCATCATAATCCAACAGACCACCTCGAGAGATATTAATCAGAATGGCACCCTGCACCAAACAAGAGCATGCAAACTTTCATGAGATATAAAAATATTGGTAACCCATTGTTTACCCATCTTCAACCCACCCATTATAAGCCCGGTAAAGTTCGGAAAGTTTGTTAACCCGCCTATTTATTTATTCAACACATTTTTAACCCACATAGCCCATTTGCCACCCTTTATATTATTCAACACATTTTTAACCCACATAGCCCATTTGCCACCCTTTATATTCTCCACTGATTTCCCCCATGGAGGAATAGAATTTAACACGGTTCCAAACTTCCCCCTGACCCCCCCAAGTTTCTGGAAGGAGATTTCCACTTGAAGACAAACCTTTCTCATGACAGATATAAAATTGTTGTTCACGATGCCAATCTGCAAGTGAGCAGCATATTTTTAGGTATAAGCTTGGCAAAATATATTGATCATCAGAAAGCACAAGATTTCCTGACCAGCCAGAGAGAAAGAGCAGTCTTACAGTTTCACTGTTCATAGCTAAGCAACATACAACAATATCAGCTTTGCTTGCAAACTTCAAGATATCAGCATGGTTTCCCCTCTCGTCGACCAGGTCAGTGTAGCCACCATTCTCAACAGACGGTGCTGGAAACATAGATATGCGGTTCCTATCAATATTTAGAAATGAATGAAATTCACAAGGTTTTCTTACCCTCGGATTTGCTCGAGTCCTGTGCAAGCCTGCCCCAACTTCGTTTCGTAGCAAGTATTTTCACGTCAAATGGACGTAGACGCTTTGCCAAATGTATCCCGATATTTCCAAACCCCAGGATAAACACCTATATGATAATGCAGAAATTGTTTAAGACATAAAAAAAGTGTGATTCTTACACAAGTTTGATGGTCTGTAAATTCGTCCAGACCTAGTCATCGACAATATCCAAGCTCGCGACAATGCCATTAAAGTCTTTTCATTTGTGATATCTATTAGAACTACTCCACTGGATATTAGCAAATTTGAATGTGCACTGTGTGTTTAGTCCCATTAAAAGAATGAAGGTGAAGTTGGAATTAGACAGGATAATGGTACATTTGCAAACAATTCAGATATAAGTCCACTCTTCCTGAGAAAATGACATGATAGATGAAGAAGTAACCCATAAAATCAATATATGATGATCAAAATGGAGGCGCATTACAAGAGTGACATGTAAAAGGAAGATACCTAACAACGCGAAAGGCAAGTTCTATATATAGAATGGTTGGATGGTATGTAGGAATGAATGTTGACCCCTCTAAAGCCCAACATATCTAAGATGTATTCATACCATAGGACTGAATGATGAGCCCTTTAATGCCCAACATATCTGTAAGATGTATTCATAGGAGGAGATTTCAATGGACAATGTATACATCAGATCAACCCCGAGGGGCTATGACTATGTGCAAGGAGGTTTTGGTTTCAGGTACAAGAATGAAGGAGGAGTCTCGCTTTTGGATTTCACCAAGAGCGCTTGGGTTAGAGGTAGTCAATTCGAGTTTCTCAAAGGAGGAGGAACACTTGGTAACTTTTCATAGAACGGTGCTAAGACACAGATAAATTATTTGCTCCTTATGAAGGATGATGAACGTCTTTGTAAAAACTGTAAGGTTTTTCTAAGTGAGAATCTTACAACCCAACATAAGCTCTTGAAGATGGATTTGGAGATCAAGAGACAGAGGAAGAAGTGGGTTGTGGGTGACCACCTAGGATCAAATGGGGTAGCTTGACTATGGTCAGTGCCCAAGAGATGGAGGAGAAGTTGATTGCTACAGAGGCTTAGGGGAGTAGTGGGGATGCGACAGTATGTGGGATAGGAGTGTTAGTTGCATTAGGAAGGCAGCTAGAGAGGTGTTCGGGGTCTCGAGAAATAGATTAGGTGGGCACCGAGGGGACAAATGGTGGAATGGAGAAGTCCAAAGGAAGGTGAAGGCAAAAAAAGTGGTGTATGCGAAGTTGGGGGAGAGTAAGGACGGAGGAAAAGCGGACATATAAGAAGAGGTATAAGATGGCGAGGAAGGAGCCAAAGTTAGCAATTTCGACTACAAAAAAGGCAACATTTGAATGCTTATATGTAGAATAAGAGGGCAAAGGGAGATAATAAGTTGTACGAGCTAGCGAAGGCGGGAGAGGGGAGGGACCATGACCTGGATCAAGTTCAGTACATCAAGCAGGGGCGGAGCTACATGGTAGCGGCCTAATAGACACTTGTACTAGCACCGATTTGTCATCCCGGCCCCTCAACTTCACAAAGTTTCATCCAAATACATGAACTGGTTCAAAACCTACATTTCAAACCCCTTTGACCTGCATGTCTCTTAATTGCCCTACCAGTTTACAAGCCGCACTTAAGCCCTAAAGCGAGGCTCAAAACATGTTAAGCGCTCCGTCTCAATTAATGTGCGGTTCAGCATCATCATCAAGGTTCTAAAGCATACTTTTCCTTGTCAATGAGCCTCTTCTAAAGAGGCGACACTAAACAATTGATATTTCACTTTATCGTAAAAAAAAAATCAATTTCTTTGTTCATATATTTGTCATTCATGCTTATAATTATTAGCCTTGGACTAAATATATATATTTATACATATTTTTTCCCTTTGCGCCTTTTTTCATTAAAGCCCATCTCCTCCTTCTCCAACACTACTATGCAAAAAAAGTCATAAACCATTTTCTTCCTCAATTTCTGAGCAGAGACATTGCTCCTCCCCCTCCACTATTCTCATTTCTTTCTCTTTTTTGATAAGGAAAAACAAATTTCATATTCTCATTTCTTTCTCTTCCACCCATCCCTATCGTAGACCACTGCCCATCTCCACTGATAAAGTTTTGTTAATAAATAAAACAACTATTATCTTTTTCCCCAAGTACCCAATGTGTATATACTTGTATCCTAAAAAAGGATACAATACCCCTATGCTCTTTTTTGATAAGGAAAAACAAATTTCATACTCATTTCTTTCTCTTCCACCCATCCCTATCGTAGACCACTGCCCATCTCCACCGATAAAGTTTTGTTAATAAATAAAACAACTATTATCTTTTTCCCCAAGTACCCAATGTGTATATACTTGTATCCTAAAAAAGGATACAATACCCCTATGCAATAAAATGGAAAATAGAAGAAAAGAAACGGATACCATATAGGTACTTACTCCTAGGAGTATCCTGGGTGTTTTGTACCAGCACTGCAGCAATTAATCTAAGCAATTTAAATTAGCATCCCCACTTCATAATTTTACACAAAATACACACCATTTACCTTAACAATTAAGGTAATTAATTGTCAAGTAAACATATTTGATGAAGCATTTGTAGCTCAGCCAACAGTTGCAGGATAAAAAGTGAAACTCACCGTTTTCCCTTGCAGGTTGTCACCAGTTGGCTCCCCTAGCTTTTTCTGCTCCACAGAAATTTTCATTTGATTCTGCAACATTTGGGGGATGCCAAGTTAAAAAGGGAAACAACATAGCTTACATGAGAACAAAAGATACTCTTCAGTAAACCTATACATGTAGCTATCGGCATATACTTTCACTTCTAGAACCACAAAGATAAAGTAGCAACGGGATTCCCAGAAGTAGAAGTAAGTACTCAACACCCCTCTTTATTTGACCACTCAGTCCAAATCACTTTAGATTTCGTTGAGATTCTAGGCTCTCGTATCCACTCCAGTGAAGACATTAACATTAGAAATATAAACCACTTTCAAGCAGACAAGTACTGAAACAGACTGCAAAACCAGATGCATTAATTATTCTTACAAAATAGTGATATATATCCCAAATCTATCAACTTTATGAAGAACGGAAGTATAATATGTTCTATGTGTTATCCTCAAAGAGTTCAGAAGAAGTAAAGCCTTGAATTATAAGATTAGAGTCAAACCAACTTGCTTACGCAGGAGGCCCAAGATGAGATATATGGCCATTTCAGCACATGAAGCAGCATTTCCAGTTGCACCACTTGGGATTTTGGCGACCTTAATGCCATGCTTTGTGGCAGCATTAATGTCAACACCTTTAGACAACAACATTATAAAATATTTAGGCAATTGGAAACTTTAAAATGGCTGATTAACAATGAATCCAGCTACCAAAGAAATAATATCAAGATAAAGGAGAACAAAACAAAACAAAAGGCATAAGGCAAGGAGACAAACAGAAAAAGAATCAATTTGACCTTCTAACCCAACTCCAAATTGCATTATGAGCTTCATCCTCTTTGCACGGGAGAGAACATCAGAGTTCATACGGAAGCTTTTAACCACACAAATTTCATAGTCACCAATCACAGCAGGCACACTTTCAAGTGGAACATCATCAACCTACAACGGAGGCATATATCATCATTCAAGATTTGATTATCACTTGTAATTTGGACCCATTTTAGAAGATAGTGCAAGAAGGTACTGACAGATACCACTCAAAAAATTGAATAGCAGAATTAAAGAGTTTTACCTTTTCTATGAGTTAATTTTTAGCTGTACGTTAGGAAAAATAACTACGAATCAAATATTGAAATGGTAAAGAAGATTAAGAAGTTAGATTTAAAAATTGCAAGTTTATAATTAGGTAGCATGTTTACCATGCAAACAGTGCACAAGTACAATTAGCAGCTCTTAGTTTACTCAGTAAAGTAACAAACAGACCTCTAGACAATTAGTTTCTCTGTTTATGTTTTTGCTTTTTTTTTATTTGATAACTGAGTAGTAGTTTTATCAGTACAGCCTGTAGATGTATTATAGTTACTCTATTTGATTTAGTGTACGTACAGTCATTTACTAATCCTCCCAAAATGAAGCCTATAATCTACACAAACTGACATATGCTTGTCACCTAAGAAATACAAATGAAATAAAAAGGAATAGTCTTGAACAAACGAATTTCAATTCTTTCTAAGGTTTTACGATCATCTCTCTCCAAACTGTCCAAATATTACACAGGTGATTTATCTTTCATATGTAAATTTCCTTGCCTCAATGCTTGTAAAAAGTCTTGTTTCTTGACCCTTTGTTTGTCCCATTTGTCCTGTGTAGGCACTTCAAGTGAAAAACATAACCATTTTTGTTTCCCTTTGAAATGATGGTATATAACAACTTCTGTTGTGGCTCAAGTTTCCTTTATTTGCTGTCAAATATTTCCACTCATATCAAATTAATTGTCTGCATCTTTAATGAGTTGTATGAAAATAGCATTTACTTTTTCTTTAGAGGAAACTCTTAATGCAAATTACAACACAACAATACATGGACCTCTTGCCAGCCCTACGTATATCAACAAGATAAAGGCGGTATACATTTTACATAGGAAATACTAGAGAATACACATTTTTCAACTCTGTTTTTTGAATGATATGAAGTCAAATAAATAAATTCATCTTTGACAAGAGAATGCAATGACTACCCCTAAAATAAGGGCTCACTTTTCATGTATTCTGATTGTGCATATGATTATCAAACGTCTACCTCGCTCCAGATAGCTATATCAAAATTTCTTTAGAAATCGAAAAAAATAGGCAAACCAAAAAAGTCAGAAACCATGTAGAAACTTCAATTATGCAATTATTTTTTAATCATTCATCAAGATCCTCTGTTGCTTTATGAACTTCATCACTATTATGTAAACAAGTTTATAAATCAACCTGCCTTTATTTATTTCCCTATGGATGCCTGAAGAACATATATGATTGAACAACTTTGAAATGGAGCCAATATTAAGTCTCGTGCAACGAAGAAATACAGCCCTTCCTATCTGATAGAAAAGGATCCCATGATCTTGAACCGATCTTACCTGAGATTGTAAATCCCAAGTCTGTCTATGGAGAGCGGATCTAATAGTATTAGTGTCTATAATTGATTTCTTATGTGTAATACTAATCGATAGGACATCACTGGTAAGTGCTACAAGAACTCATGCATTGGTCCCCGAAACCGTTAGTATGGGACATTTTCTTTTCCAAGTGAAATCCCCTAGTATATGAAAGCCTCAAAAAGTTCTTTCATTGTTGTGGAATAAGAAGCAGTAAAAGAAAGAAAGTAACACCTGAACAAATGGATAGCCTTGCAAATATTCTCTTGTATAATTGTGAGAATCAGGAAAGTGAGGCCCACAAAAAAGAACACGGGTAACGTGACTGCACCTATTATCACTCATTTTCTGAAATGTGTTTGCACCTAAATGAATAAGAAAATGCAAATATAGACATCAGTAATGTACCCTTATTACACCTGACAGTGAGTATTATACATATTGTTAGAGAAAACACATTATCATCATGGCTGCATATTGCAAAAATCTCCCTCTCCCAGCACTAGGTGGGATGTGGACAAAGAGGAGAGGGTAAAAATCCCTTCAAATTATGTAATGGTATACCAGCAGGGGCCGACCCATGTTGAGCGAAGAGGTGTCACTAGACACAGAGGCGTATCTAGGGGGGGTCACCAGGTTCACGTGAACCCATGGTCCCCTCCCGAGATCATATATAGTAGTGTTATATTTTTTAAAATATATTGAAATATAGATGTGTGAACCCACACTTATAGTATCACATAAGGCGATCATGACTGGGTGCACCTTTCTCCGCGAGGTTAGAAATTTGAATTTTATATTTATCTTATATTATTTTTCTTCCTAAAATTAGATAACACTTCTCTAAGTGGTAATTGCTATATATATATATAAGAATTAATTTTAGACCTATAATTTTAAAATTTTAACGGTACTAAAAACCTAAATGTCGAATCGATCAAATTTATATCATAAATCAACCTTTTTATAACAGTGCACCCATCATCTCAAAATCCTGGATATGCCTTTGACTAGACACGCTTTGTCAGAAAATTTTACTGTATATCATATCTATGCATAAAGTGATATATTGAACGAAATGACACTGTTTGACAATGGATGTCTCTTGGAGTTCGAACCTCAACCTAAGCATAGTTTTGGGAAATATAAAATGTATTGCTTAAAATTATGGTTAAGTAACATTGAACCTTAGTCCTTAGATATCTTCTAACTTTAACACCAAACTAAACCAATGAGTCAACGATATGTCTTATATATATAATATGATATTGGATCAACCAAACACATGAGAACAATTGAACATAAAAATAAATTTAAGAAAAAAGAAAAATTGTGAATTTGTGGATTACCAGCTTGAGCTAAGGAACAGAACCAATGGCGTTGATGTTGGTGATGAAGATAAGTGTTCTCCAGAACGTTGCAAGTGATGAGTGTTTTTGCGTTAGAAACCCAAGTTTTGCAGAGAAGTAATGCAGAGGTGCTCTTACTGTACATCTATGGTGAGATGAAATCCGATCTAACTTAGGTTTTGTCAGACTAAGATTTGAAAAATGCAATTCCATTAGGATGGGAAACGGATCCCATCCAGTAAAATTAGCTCCAGTAATGTCCGGTGATAGCTTTAGATGATGCCACCTAGACAAAATGAAATCTAAAGGCTAGAAATTATTGCTTCTAAAATTAAATTTCACACCGTTAATTTTCTCTTCTCCACTGTTTGGTACAAACTAAAATTGCAGAAGTGTCAATTTAATTAAAAATGTTTTTTTTATTATTATTTTAAGTTTTTTTTTTTAATTTCTCTCTCGTACTTTTTGATTTATTTAAATTTTGATTTCATCTTAAATCTCACTTCATCTTCCACCCTCCACTTTCAAGTGATCCATCCCTCCATTTTCTTTTCTTTTCTTCACCTCCCACCCTCACCCCTCTCCCCACTGAACCCTCTCCCATTTTTTTTTCTTTTCTTTTTTTTCTTCTTCTCCGGTCAAATTCTTTATTTCAGTGATTTTTTATTTAAAAAAATCATTCTATTTTCTAGACTTCATTGAATTATTGATAACAAAACTAATTATTTTTTTAAGAAAATTTAAAATTTTGAAGATATCATCAATTACTCCTTTTCATATAACTTCAAAATTAGAAATGATAATTTTAAAAGAATCAATGAATTCCTCGTAAATGAAAGAACTTAATTGAAATCAAATAAAAAAAAACTATATGATACTTCCTAATCATCTTGAAATCTAATGGGTTTATCAAATTTTTTGAAATATAAGAAAATATTTAGATAAAGTTTTAAAATTAAAGAGAGTAAAACTAATAGTAGTAAGAAAAGGAAGGTGAAATTATGGTAAAAATGGTGACATTGAAAGTGAGAAGGTTTAATAGAGATGACAATAAAGTTTTGAAGAAGAAAAAAAGAGAAAAAATAAAAAGGAAAAAATTTAAAATAATAAGAAAAATAAGAAAATATATTTTATAATAAAATGCTTGTGAAAATAAAATTATATTAGTTATTTTAGGTTGCTCACTCTCTTTGTGAGAGTGCACACACTCTCTATGTCAGGTAGACAAAAAATAATGTAATAATATCAGTTCAAGATTATTTAGTGGGGTAATAGGATGTCCGCATAGTTAAAGTGTCTTCTTGAAAATTTGGGACAAGTTCATGTATCACTTTATGTCTTTTCTCTTTTTTATACGACAGGTGTCAAAAACACACCTGAGCTATTTCTTTTTTTCGAGTGTCATACCTAAACTATTGAGAGTGTGAATTTTATAGATAAACTATCACTTATTAGTGTGAGAAACACACATTAGTGGTGTGTAATAGACTCTCTCTTTTATTTATAAAAACATTGCCACGTGACATTTCATATAGAAAAATATTTCACCTTTACAAAAATTAAATAAACTATTAATATTAGTTAAAACTAAAGTTAAAGTATTACTATTCAAAAAAAGTTACTCTATTTTTTTCATTTCACTCCACCATCTCCTCCCCTACCTCATCCCGATAATTCCCATCCTTTTATTTTTTAAAATTCTTTTAGAAAATATTTTTAAAAATTCAGACCTCACCTCCTCCCCCACTCCTTCCTAAAATATTGATATTATTTTTTTTAAAAAAATAAAATATAAGTCAACCCTAGCCCGTCTAACTCTCCGCTTCTAATTTATTTTTATACTAGTGACTTATCCGCGCTTCGCGTGGAGAAATAGACTATATCACTCGTTTTTTTTTTCTGAAATAATTTTTACTTTATTTAAAAATTAATTTTGATTATGAAAAATTCAAATTAAACCTCCATGTTTAGAATTTCAAATAAAATGTTATTTTGTCTCATTTGTGAAAAAAATATATAACAAAACATAACTCTGGTTTTAAAAATTTCTAGTAAAATGAAAAATATTTAATTTCTAATTATATATGGTCAAACGCCCACCAAATTTATGATTTATTTTTTCTTTCTTTCTAATACTGGAATATTAAAATCATCAAAAAAATATAATCAATTTTATTTTCAATATTTCTTTCAAGTCTTTTTCAAAACTTAAGTTTTTAAATTAAATCAAAAGTTACATAAAAACATTATCTATATTTTGTTTTTTAAGTAAATATGAAAAAAAATATATAAAAATAACTTGTTAGCAGACCTTGTTTAGTTGTTTTGTTAAACCTTCAGAGTTTATGGGAACTCTATATTTAATTCGTCATTTAAACTTGCTTCCGTATCTTTAAATGGTTTAGTTTCTTTAAGTTGCTTAGTCGGGTTGTAGTAGTGGTTCTCCCACTGGAGGGTTAGTGTGGGTGTCAATCACGGCGGTCTAGGTCATGACAGTAACTTTACCCTTCTACCCTTATTTAATTTTTTTTAAACTCAAGTTTTCAATCAGTGAATATGAATTAATTTATTTTGATTAATTATTTTAACCAATAAACATGAATCATTTACTTAGCTTTTCTAAGTTGGTCAAATGTATATTTTCAAGGCTAATAACTCACAAGGGTAAAAAATGAACAATATGCTAATTTATGCATTGATTTTATGAAATGACAAGTATTCCCTCTGTCCCTAATTACTTGTCCACTTTTAAATTGACACACCTATTAAGAAAACAATTATTGACTTAGTGAGTTTACCATTTTACTCCTATTAACTATAAAGTGGATGAATTAAAAACTTAAAGTTTTCAAAAGTTCTACCTTTTTCAAAGTAATTAATTGAAGGTATAATAGGTAAAAAAAAATTGTCCTTTCTTGATTTGTCAAAATGGACAAGTAATTAGGGACAATTAAAAAAGAAAAGTGGACAAGTAATTAGGGACAGAGGAAGTATTATGAACCAACTATTTATAAAAAAGGATGTCATATAAAAAGGAACGGAGGGAGTACTAATATTTATGTAATTTTTAAAAAAAATTGTGATCAATAAAATTGGGTTACACGTGCAAGGTGCATGCCCATAAATTAGTATTCCTAAATGAAACAAACGTAATATTTGAAGATAATTTTTATAATTTAAGTGACCATTTAGGGAATAAACTCCCAAATATACTATCTTTTTTTCAATTGGTGTAAATCCTATAAAGAGGATAGAAACTTGATTTGCTTAAACAAAATCTTTTCTATGATCGTATCATAGATTTAATTTGTAGCGTTAATTGGGCCTTAAAACACCAAAATTGAGGCAAACTCTTATGACCTCAAAATAACATGTACAAGAGTCAAGGACTAAACAAAATTGTAAGAGCATGGTATCGTCCGCTATCGATCACCTTTAACAAAACATAACTAATAAGTTATCATGATATAAAAATATAAACTTAAGCCACAATAAAATATTACCATTTATTGTGACGAGCAAAAACAACCGGCATAACCACAAAATTGGTTACAGAGTGTTCAAACTTGGAGAAGTGGTGTTTTTTTAAAAAATAAAATAATAGACACATCAAAATTTTCAAATCAAACTACACAATATTTAGTTAAACAGTGATTTAAAAATTTATTTTTGTAGAAAAATAATTTAAAAAGAAAAAGATAAGTCAAGCAAATACTGGCTGAGAATTGGTTCAAAAATTCAACCATCAACTACTTCAATTGATTCCAAAAATCAAGAGAAATGAAGTATCACGAAAGAGAACAAAAAAAAAAATGCATACTTATATTGCAATTGTTGGTGCATCAACATCATAGCTCTTTTTATTATTATTATTTTGAAGAAACAAATTATAATGGCAAATCAACTAACCATTTTCATTCACTCTCAATAGTCGTATATTTTGAGAAAATTTCAGAAATAACAAATATAATAGATAAAATAAGGCTCTATATGTATAGTTTCGATAATTGTGCTCCATATCGATTTATAGCTCTGTTTGCTATGGAGGTTGCAGTTGTATATTTATGCATGTTTATATATTTCGATTGTGAATATACAAATAGGGTAAGTATAAACAAATTCTTTATACATTTAGAAATTTTTCAAAACTTCGTTTGTATATTTCACTTGTCAATATACAATTATGAATTTTTCATAAATCATATACAAATAGTTAGGGTAAGCATATACAAAATTTTGGATTTATACAATTAGCAATCGAATTATACAAATTCTAGATTTATACAAATCAAATGAATTATACAAATCAGGTGAATAACAAGATTCAGCAAAACTATATATAGCTACAAATTAGAATTTCCCTAAACAGTAGCTGTAGCATTTAATATGATTTGAATGTTCGTTATTCTGCGCAATTTTCCCAAAAAATCAAACTGCTTTCAATTAGTTTATGTCAATAAATAATACTTCCTCTGTCCCAATTTATATGACTCACTTTCCTTTTTATTTAGTCCCAAAAAGAATGACACATATAAAGTAACAATCTAACTATAAAATATCTATTTTATCCTTAATGAAATGATTTACAGCCACACAAATTTCTATCATTCATGTTGGACCACAAGTTTTAAAAGTCTTCCTTTCTTTCTTAAACTCCATGCGGAATCAAAGTACCTCATATAAAATGGGACGGAGGGAGTAATAAATAAAGTAACATCAACATGCCATTTTTTTTTCTTGTCACCTTACTTGACTAGGACTAATTGAATAACGTTTTTCTGACTATTAATATTGATCCTCTTATTTGAAGCATCCCACAATAATAGTGTATCAAATTAAATATACATACTTCATATTTTGTTTCAACGTTTCAAAGTTACAAATATCTTTATTATCACTTATAAATTACAAATTAAATAGAATAAAAAGTTACCCTTTCAGATTTTCTTAATACAAAATTAAAAATCTTTTATAAAATAATCATAAAATTTAAAATAATATTACAAAGGACTACAAATTAAATCTCCAATTTTTTTCGTCAATGATTATCCACTAGCAAATATTTTAATGGACTGCTGGAAATTATATAGAAAGACTTCGATTTTATAATTCAAATTTATAATAAACTTTAACTAATCTATTTCAGATTATGACTTGGATAAACTAATTGAAAGTTCACATT